GGCGGCCATGGCGTCGGCGCTGCGCTTGCCGCCGAGCATGGTCGCCCAGTTGAGCGCGAACGAGGTGTCGACGGCCTTCATGTCGGAGAGCAGCTGCAGGTGGGCTTCGAGCGCGGCCTCTTCCTGCGCGCTGTTGCTGTTGTTGTCGTCCTTTCCCGGCTCCATCGTGACTGCAATTTGTTGCCTGCCGAGGCTGCGGCCAATCAAATCGCGTCGTTTCAAATGATGCCAAATGGCACGGCCGCGGATTTGTCATCAAAACTGGCCCGCGTCCCGCAACGTCGATGCTTCCCTCGCTGTCGTTCTTTATTCGAATAGAAGGACAATATTGTGCACAGAAAGAGCAGCTAGAATCGATGCTGCAGAGGGCATCAGCGTCGGCTACGGACGATGGGGACAGAAAAGACGAAGCGCGTGTTTGAGCAATCACACCACGCCCGATCTTCCTCGTGGCTGCGCGTGTACCACGGCGGTGGCTCCGGAAAGCTCCTCGTCGTCTCTTGTCTATCTTCTAGCCAAATGAAAGTGCATGCACTCAAGGGCACAATTGATGCGCTTGATCCATCGACTCGTCCATAGCAGGGCAGTTGTCTGTTGAGTTCGTTTGTTGGGTAAATGCTGCGAGAAGGCATTGGGATGAACGGGGAGATAACCGACATCGATGCACTGGTGATGCAATGTTGCTGCTCGCATGGCGTCTTCGATCATCTCTGAGGTTTAGATAACGGTCCGTCAATGGCGACACTCGGCCACATAGACGGCCGATTCGACGAAGTGGACGAGGTTTTCCAAGACCAAGATCTAGGATCTCACACGTTAATCCATTAACGAAGCGCAGGGCACCCTGGATTTTGCTGTATTCGTTAGATACCAACCCGTCTTGCCCTACACTGGAGATCTCCACGGTTGTTGCTGAGAGCAGCTCGATTTTGACCAGACTACCTTGATGCAATTGTATGTACAAATGTATGTGATTCAAAACGATTACGACAGAACGCTAGCTCACAACTAGGCCATGGCCGCAAGCATGGTCACGGCCGCCGCAGTGAGGGCGACGCCGGTCGCGGCGGCGCTGCTGGGCTTTGTCGGAGCAGGCGTCGTCACCGTGTTCGACGAGTTCGACTTGGACGTTCCGTTGCCAGGCGCCGCCGTAATCGTCGAGTTGGCAGATTTTGTCGAGTTGCTCGAGGGAGCGGCCGTGGATGCACCCGGCGCCGACGGGCCGCCGCCAAGGGCCTTGAGCAAAGCGGCGATGCCGGCGGAGACCTCGACAGACGTGAACGTCGAGGTTTCGACGCCACCGATCGAGCACGGAGGCGCAATCTTCGAGACCTTCTCTTGCATGGTCGCATAGAGGTCCTTGCACGCCTGCGTGCTAGCAAGCTTCTTTGCTTGGTCGGCCGTCGGAGCCGAGCCTGTGGCGATCAACATGAGGTTGTAGCCGGAGGCATCCGTGCAAGCCGGGATTTGCGCCTGGAGAGGAGTCAGCGTGTTGAGGAGCGACGGGGCCGTGCACGGGTCCGAGGCCGTCACGGTCGAGGCGGCAAGGGCAAGGAGGAACGTCGACGTCTTCATGGTGAGGTGGGTTGTTGTTGGTGGCAAAGTGAATTTGAAAATGGGAAAGTATAGGTCGCGTTCACCGTCCATGGCCGAGCCTTTACCGAGTTGAAGAAGCTGTCTCTCGGAGAGACAGCTTCATCAAGCTATGGGGTAGAGAGACTCTCTCCCCAATAGCTTGCCCAATGATTGGGCAAGTTATCAGGCAGCGCGTCGAGAGGCGCAACAGTCTGTTCACCGAAACGATCCAACAGCAGGAGAACGAGAGCCTGTACCCAAAATGGCCTGTACCCTGGCCTGTACCCTCCACCTAGCAAAGGGACCACGCGACTTCTACCAAGGTGGTAAAGTGTACGTAGCTTGATATATCTGGGTCGTGGTAATTCAAAGGCGCAGGTCGTAGTCGAATCTACAGTAGGTATGGTGATTGGAGAGCGCAGGACGTTGCCCAACAGTTCATCGATGGATCTTCCTAGCCTGAGCTCCGCCGTGGTTGGTCTGTGCGGGAACAGTGGGAAGACAACGAGAACGCGGATGATCGAGCAGCTTGACGAGCGAGCTCAGTTTAGCATATAAAGCGCATCGCATTCGGTACATCTCGTCATAAACTCCCTGACAAGGTCTCGAGTAGTATGGGTGTAAGGGGTCTAACCGACTCCCTCTGTGCTAGTACTTGATGTGCACCTCGCTCGTCGCCTACCGCGAACCGGAGCAATGTAAATTCTTTGGGCTAACCAACGTTAACTATCGCGAGTGCTCTCTCCCAGCTCTCTCTCTTTTCGAGGCGGCCTTGTCCTCCCTCGCCAGTTCGGCAGCACGATGAAAATTCATGCTCGGTGAAATGAGCTCGGATTAGAGCGACCTCTGTCGCTCATCACAGACAGACTCAAGGTGGGAAAGCGGCTGCATGCAACGTTGTGTGCTTGGGCGACGACGATACATCAAAGTTCGTCGCTAGCGTCCTCGATGATTCATCGAGGACGACCAGAACATCGAGGACGCAAGGGCGAAACGCTCGAGGACGGCTTGGCCTGCTCGGCTCCTCGGATTGAAGCACTTTCAAAATCACTTTGCAACCCTCAACTACCCACCTCACTATGAAGACGTCTGCTCTCCTCCTCGCCCTCTCTGCTTCGGCGTCTGCTGCCTCGAGCCCTTGCGCGATCATGTCGCTCGTTGGCACGCTGACTCCGCTCGCCGCCCAAATCCCGGCCTGTAAAGACGCTTCCGGCTACGACCTCATGCTCATGGCGACGGGCACGGCCCCGACTCAAGAACAAGTGCAAAAGCTCAGCACCACCAAGCCGTGCCAAGAACTCTTCACGGCGATGCAAGCCAAAGTCTCTGCGCTCTCGCCGCCGTGCGCCCTTGGTGGTCTCGAGAGCTCCGAGTTCTCGACGGCATCGGTCACGGACGCCGTCGCTGCGTTCTTGAAAGCTCTGGCCGGCAGTCCCTTGGTGCCGGGGCCCTCAGGCAACTCGACGAGCGGTGGCAACGGCACGTCCAAGAACTCGTCGGATGCAATCACGACGCCGGCTCCGTCCAAGGGAAGCAGCGCGACGACGACTGGTATCGCGCTCACCGCCGCCGCCGTGACGATGCTCGCGGCTATGGCCTAGCTCCAAGCACGTATTACTTGTTTTGATATTCAATATAAACCCGTCGATAATTGCCACGAAAAGTTCATCTCCTTATCTCTTCAAGCTTCTCTACCCAAGACTTTACTTCCACTTTCTCTAGACGACCACGGAATGGTACGCATCGCCAGAACGATCGAGTGCTGACGCCTCAACCCACGCCTTCAGGCATGCAAAAAGGGTAGCGTTGGTTTTGTAATCTTACACCGACCTAGAAAAGCTCGTTCGTCTCCCCAGCGTCGCTACAAGGGACAGCACCGAGCACACTCTCTCCTCTGTACAGTCAACCGACACCTTCAAAATTGCAGGCCATACATTAACGAGTACTTTACAGGACAGAGGGACAGGGGGCGACGGGTTCACAGCGACATTTCGGCCTGCGTGAGCATAAAGTCGTGGCGGTGGTGGTACGTGAGCTTGCGCACGGCCACGTCGATCGCCTTCTCAAAGGCGACCTCGACCCCGCGGAACGACTGCACGATAAAGTCCGTAACATACGTCGTTGTGCGCTTCTCGAGCGAGATGTTGGGCATGATAAACTGGAAGACGTCCGTGAGGTGGATGAGCTTCCCCGCGCGCGTCGGTGAGTGGCGCTGTACGAAGAGCTTGTAGAGCGACTGGGACGGGTTCTTCACGTCGCCTTCGATGACCATCCAGCCGCTCTGGTGCACGCGCATGACGCTCTCGTCGAGGGGGTAGCACTCGTCTTCCAAAATCGACTTCCACACAATGACGACGCGGTTGTCCTCGTAGTAGCGCCGGTAGAGGTACCGCGCGCAGAGCACACCGGACGCATCTGCAACGCCGTTCCGGGGCACGTACTCGACGTACACCGTGTTGGCGTCGATCGTCTCGAGGATCTTGTAGTTGTCGCCCCACTTCTCCGTGATCTCGCGCCCGAG